CTTTCCTATTAATCCAGGGCATCTTTCTCAGAACAAAGTCTTGAGGCTATATATTTTTTTCCTTAAGAAGAGGGATGTTGGGATGTGGCCCTTGGCCCTCATACCAGAAGTTGTGCTGCCAGCACCACTCTATGGCAGAAAGCACTGAGCTTTCAAGCTAAACCATCCATAATCTCAGGAGACCAGCAGAAAGCAGGCACCACTTCAGTACAGGCCAGAAAACAGTCAGCTAGACATATAAAGAGCTATTCCAAAATACTTCAATGGAGGGTGATATGGCAAAGGGTGGCTCTTCACAAACGGTTCTTGAACCTACAACAGCACCTCTGTAAGTCCCACCAGAGAAGTCTGGTCCCGGGTGCAATGACAGACACGCTGCCTTTGTGCCACCACTCCCCACCACTCTTCATTGCCCCCGTGCAGGGGCTGCCACCCACAAGTCCTAACACTATTGCTGGCCAGCTTCTGATGGCCCAACAATGGTTTTGATGGCCAAGTTCCTAGTTGTGTCTTCAAAGACAGTTTCCTGTCAACTTCCTTCAAGAGTTGTTGATCGTGTCAACTGTCAGGAGGAATTCCTATCAAGGCAACAAAGCATTTGGAGTTCTGTCTTCAATTATCTCTTTTCCTCTATTAAAAAATTCTATTCACAGTAGTAAGCACTTTTGAGTATATTTGAGTATTACATTCCAGGTATTTGCTGTCATCAGAGAAGTTTGGCTTGTGAAAGGACACGGGGGGAACGTCTTTGCTTGACCCTTTCAGCGGTCTACCAAAACTCTCCACAGACTGAGCGCGGTCGCAAGAGCGTACGGGATGTGCTCACCATGGTGGCGTTGGCAGAAGGAGCAGAGTGTGCAGGGGACGTAGGGTGCCACCAGCCCTGCACAGTTCCAGCTCACGCTGCACATAACGCAGAAGACAACTCACCCCCACCCCATCAGCAGCACGCAGAAAGCTCCCTGCCCTGGGAGATGGCACCTCTCTTCAGTCTTCCCAGCTTAACTCCTGCTTGGTGAAGGGAGATACAATGATCTGTAAAGAGGAGAAGTCCCCGCAGATCCCAACTATCCTCCTGCCACACACTGACCTAGAGATAAAAGGGTTCTTCACCCTTTACAGAGCACTCCCTGTAACTCATTCCTTACGTTCAATCTTTCCCTGGGATGCCCTCCTGACTGCAAGATCAGTAGCATTCTCACCTTGGTTCTCAGGATACTTTCTTCTAAAATTCCCTAAACCCACACTTTGAAATTGAACAAGGGGCAAAACAGCAGCACGTTCTGTATGAAGGTACAAATGAGGAACACAAACACACACACAAAATCTTCTTAAAGTAACAGATCAACCCTTTGGCTTAAAGGAAACATTGAGCATCCCTTAGATGAGGACTTCCCATTCATAACTCTCCCACAGGAGGCACCTGGAAAACACCTCCACAGCACCCAGCCTCCTGCTGTACGCCTGCAGTAAAGAGGCTACAGTCCTCATTTAGTTTATATATCAATCTTCAATGGGGAAACATCTGGCCTTTAAAACTGATAGCACACCACAAAGCTTTCCAAACGTCACCAGGGCAGAGGAGCGTAAGAAATGAGTGGCAATGCCCCTACTTCCAAGCCAAAGACATCGAAACTGAGTATTAGGGTTCCGAGCTCACCTGACTAGACTTTTACTATTCAAACACTCAGTTTTCATTAACGCTGCTTTCAGCAGTATTTAAGTGTATGGTTACAACTGATAACGGAGCAGTTTTAAGAAGTTTCTGCCTTTCAGATGACAAAAAGAAAAAACCCTGACTCTAATTACAGAATCACAGAATCTTCTAGGTTGAAAGGGACCTTAAAGATCATCTTGTCCAACCGTAGGCTAAGTCCAATCAACACCTTAAAGATCATCTTGTCCAACCGTAGGCCAAGTCCAATCAAAGCCAAAGGAAAAACAAGTTTGTGAAAACAGTCCTTCAGTGGCCCGGGCAATATCAGAAATACTCTGACACAAGGAACGGTATTTTAATCTTTAGAGGAGGGAGCTAACGTGACAATGCTCTACAAGGAAGCTTTGAATGGAAAAGAATCACTGCTGTACAGGTAAGAGGGGAGTTTTGCTGAGTTCCCAGCTTCCAAGTACCAGCTCCTCTGAGGAGAGATGATTGCTGCCAGGTATAGACAGAGCTTGAAACTCTAGATTAATTGCTTAATGAAAGCAACTCAAGCTCCATTTGCCTTTGGAGGAGTTTTGCTGAGTTCCCAGCTTCCAAGTACCAAATCACTGCTGTACAGGTAAGAGGAGAGCTTGAAACTCTAGATTAATTGCTTAATGAAAGCAATTCAAGCTCCATTTGCCTTTGGAGGAGTTTTGCCGGGTTCCCAGCTTCCAAGTACCAGCTCCTCTGAGGAGAGATGATTGCTGCCAATGACCCGCATTTGATTCTTTCTTGTAGCCTGACCAGTGCATGTGATGCACGACAAGCTGAGTTTTCCCTGCTCCTTGCTATAGTCAAGTTGTGACCTCAAAAGCTGGCAGAGCTCCTTGGAACGGTAGCAGTCAGCTCCCCCCACAACAGAAAATAAACTGGAGTGCATCAGCATCGATCCTCTTACCTTCACCTAATGAAGCAGGATAGAAAACTGGCATAAGTGCCAAAATTCTGCTTAGAAGCCTCCTTGCCAGTCCCTGCGCTTTCCCCCATCCTTTCTAATTAACTTGGAATTGCTATTTTATAAAATTCTCACCGATGTCTGAAAACAGTTATATACTAATGAAGACAGGGAAAAAGAGGTTTTACAGTAACAAAAGAAAGTAATTTTAATCCATGCTAACAGGTGATATTTAACGTTACAGCTGGTGACAGTATTTCTGACAGACCAAGGCAAAGCTGTGTTAATAACAGGCACATTGGTTTTGTTTATAGGACTTATTTCAGGCAAAGAGCGTGATTCAGAAAAAAATGCAGGGTGAATGCAAGCAATCACAAGAGGCCATTCATCATTCTGCCTACGGTTTGTTTTTTTTTGTTGTTGTTGTTAATACATCCACAGAACTGCAACTGTGCTCATTCCACGAGCGAGACGTTCGCGGCGGAGGGGATTAAAACAGACAACCTTTATCATCGTGCTCCAGCTGTCAGTCAGCCTTTTTTATCTGCCAGCACGTGTGGACAATATCAGCTCCGTTAACAACCCCACTCCTTCAGTGGCCTTGGATTGAAACGACGACAACATTAAGCAGCTACTGCAAAAAGACACAAGATCACGTAAGTCCAGACAGCCGAAGTGGTTAATTGGCTGTTTCTCAAACACCCACAGCAATCCACTTTGCTTCCGTTGGTACACGAGTAATTAAAAAGCTAATTGCTATTTTATTTCGGAAGGCAAGAAACCCTAAGAATAAAGTCAGGAGAAATGCAGCTTGCTGAAGTGAGAAGGGTAACGCGCTCTGCTCTCATCAACAGATCCCTACAGCCTTGAAGATTTGCGCATGTACTTGTCACAAGAGTAATTAGCTGATCAGAAATCTAGGCAGTAACTCCTTCCTCTTTCTCTATCTGAGATCCCAGACAGGATTCTAGGTTGAAATGGAAAACTGTTGTTCTGTTTACTTTGGTGAAACCTCTTCTGATTGACGTTCATGACATAAAGGCCCTTGGGCCAAAATTTGCTCTCTCACAAGTGAATTCCGCTCCCAGCTCCGTCCCGTGTTTCAGGCACAGGCGCCCCACCTCAACTTACCCTTTTGTTCAAAAACACTGCCACTAGTGAAAAGGCCGGGCCACCTGGGATTTCATAGAAATACAAGAAACACGGTAATCTACATCTCAACATTCTCAAGCGAAAGGAGACTTACAACTTTGTGAGCAGCAGAACCGCTCCAACACACGCCCAGCATCTACAGCTGAACAACGTTCTCCTTGCTGTTGGCTGAAGAGCATTGCCTTCCTCCCGATGGTTCAACTCAACAGAAGAAACACTTCAACAGGAGAAAAAACCACCCCGGGGCGAGCTGATACCAGCACTGCTTTCGCTAGGCTGCGCGGGGAAACAAGTAGGCTCTGAGCTACAAAGGGTCACGAGAGTTTTGAGAGCCTGCAAGGCAGAAGGGGTATTTACTCTGATGTTATCGAGGGCTTAAAAACGTAAAAGGGGTATTTCAGCGGAGTCGGTGGGTGCGGTAGAGCATATGCACAGAGGAACAGAAGAACAACTCATGCTTCTACGTAGTCCTCTAGGAAAAGGAACCCTTGACGGCTTTTGAAAATAGCTGCCAGACCCCTTAGGGAAGAAAGGAGATTCAGAGAAGATTCTTTTTCCATAGGGAAAGAGGACTGCATACTGAAAAGTGGGAGATGTCAAAGTACTGCTTAGGGGAGAGGAGAGAAAAAGCCCAGAAATGCCAAACAGAAAACACTGACCTAGCAACACGGCAGGATCTGTGTTCGATAGGGAGTAGGAAAGAATTGTTCTTACATCAGCAAGCATTTGGAGCATGCCACATAAGGAGATGGTGAAGCTGGAGGACACTGCTGGTATGCTCTGCTGCAGGAATAGGCAGCGTTGCTGTCGCCAGCACCGTATAATTTGATCAAAATGTATTTTGAAAGTTGCCACGAGAAAGAAGGTACGGAAAAAGCAACCCTCCATAGCAAGCTATTTTTAGTCACATCGAACACCCTGCCTCCCGAAAACACAAATTTTATAATCCAATTGTATAATCCAGTTTTACTCCCAAATTCACTTCATCATCAGAATACCCATCAGCTGCAGCATAGTTAAGAATGTCACCATTACCCACCCTAATATGTAGAGATCACACACAAGAATTGCTTGAAGCAGCATTTACAGCATTGATTACAGCAAGTAGCAGCATTGATTAAGTCAGTTGTGAATTACAGGCAAATTACACACAAAAAAGCAGGGCTAATCTTGCACTAGTTACACAAGCAAAACTCCCGCCTCCCCAGTGCTTTTTATTGAAGAAAAAAAGAAACTGAAAGTCAGTTGTTTGGGATTTTTAATGATTTTTTTTAATGAAGCGTTACCGATAATCATTAGCTGAACGACGACAGCACTTTCCAGTTACAATTTAAAGTGAGATAAAGAAAATACAAATAACAGTATAAATAATACCAAGCAACAGCCTTTGCAGAAAGTCCTTAAGGCAATAGCTACAACTGACACTACAAATTCTACTTTTATATCTACATATACACATCTATACATTCCATAAATACAGCATCTCAGTATGGGATACCTCAGATTCTACTGCGGATTAGAAGCTCCTGTTTTCTCATGCAAATCCACAACAGAGTCATACAAGAAATTCAGTTAGTGACAAAGCTTACAGAGGAATTAATGCTCAAGGGTACTAACAGCAGGATGCTCACAACCTGGTGTTTTGCCTTCCTTACCCCCTTACTGCAGGGATTTCTACATCAGCCGCTCCTCTGTCACTCATGCTGTCACTCTTCAGCATAATGAGGACTGGAGTTCTTATTTCAGTTTTTCCTCTTCATTTCTGCACGTTTTCAGACTAGTCTCAAACATTCGCTCCACATTTGGTCCTCTTATTACCAATAGTTTTATAGCTTTTACAGAGATCACAATTTTTTAGAAAGTAGCAAATGGAGCTACGACGCCAAATCTTTTCCATCTCTTCATGGCATGCCAGGAAGAACTAGATTCATTATTGATGTAGATTAATCTTCACCCTAAAATGTAAAAGGGAAAAAAAGGAAAAACAAGTCAGTCACAGGCACTCTCCCAAAGCTAGTCATGGTCTCAGCTGTCAAGAAAGAGAAAAGCTTTTTGATATATACTTAATACATTTTTAAAAATCGCAACAAAACACCTCTGATGTGAGGTATAACAGTCTTTTGAAAAGCATTTAATAGGATGCATGTTCTTTGGCAAACGCGTATTACTATTAGATTACAAAAGCAGACCATGATTTGATTTTTTAAAATTTTTTTCAACACGTTAATTACAAAATGTTCTCAGTTAAGTGACAGGTCTATTAAATGCATCCACTTCATTATTTTTTTTTCAGGATCCTATACCCCAAGCATATATTTGGGATTAAAAAGACAAGATTTAGTGGAAACTTGGTAAGAAAGATGTACTATCTGGTAAATCCTTGGGTTAAATTCTCCAAAAGGATTAGTGCAACTGAACAGTGCCTAGTCCAGCAGCATCAGCTGAGTTCAGTTTTACTATGCATTATTGTAACAGACACCTAGCATTGTTATAAGCACCAAATACTACAGACAGCTTTTTTTTTTTTAAATGTGGAAAGTTTCCAAGGGATACCCACCTTTAGCCGGGCAAATGGTTCTAGCTGACCATTAGAATTTTTTTTTTTTTTAAATGTGGAAAGTTTCCAAGGGATACCCACCTTTAGCCAGGCAAATGGTTCATTAGAATTCCATGGCAGGCAGGAAAATGCAGCATTTTCAGGCTTATTTGCTTTCTTCAGCGTTTTTGAGAGAGAACCAGCTGCACACAGTCACTGCAGGAGACATGGGTGGAAGGCTCTACCCACCTTACACAAAGAGAGGGCAAGGCTCAGCCACCCCTCCCTTGCTGAGGTACTATATGAACCTCCTGGTCAGAGGACCTGGTTGTATCTTTGGTAGGAGCCACACTGACACGTGAACGAAGACTATAACCATTAGAGCACCAAATGAGCAGGTAACAACATCTGTTAGTTTTCAAAGGGGACTGCTGAACCTCCAGAACTTTATCTAATTAAATGATTGCTGCTGGGAATCCTACATTCCATAATGAGCTACAGCACCTAGAGCGGGTTGGAAGATTGCAGTCAGAGCCTCTAACTCCGTCACGCCAATTTTGGCTTGCAGAACAAGCACCTAAACAGTCAAAGATGATGGGGGCTGCAACGTGCCCCTCCTGTCCCATCTGCAGGAAGCACAAAAAACCCTGTTAGAACATGGACACCACTACTTGGGTCCTGTAATGCCAACTGCTGGCTAAGCCAGGAAGCAGGAGCCACCGTGATGAGGAACAGACGAAAGCTGTTGCTCATCACAACAAGGAAATTCCAGCTCCTAATCTCCTCCATAAAAGAAATCTTGACTCCTGGCAAAAAAAAACCAAAGAGAGTGGAAGGAAGAGAGCAAGTGGGGTACTTCTGGTGAGATCAGAGGTGCCTTTGGCACAGAACCTAGTGCAGAGTGGAGCTGGTCTAGTCAGGCGAACCGTTTTCTACATCCTCGATTCAGAAAGACACTGAAGTATACACATAACCTTTGAAACACACTTTTAATTAAATATATAGTTTACATTTGAAACTGGAGGCACTGTGGAAGTCTAATTGTAACCAAAAATAATTTACGACACTTCTGACGCGATCAGGTTGCAAAATCCAACTGCAGGGTTCACAGAGTATAGTTCTAGACATCTGGTCTAGTTTGTTTTGGGTTTTTTTTCCCTCTCCAGAGAACCCAGAGAAAGGACAGGCAAGCATTTGACATACAAATAAACCACCAAAGCTTATGGGCTGGCTTTGCTGCTATATTTCAGGACAAACTGCAGTTCAGAGCTTAAAATCTGGGGGGGACGGGAACCCTCATATCTTCCCCATCTCTGCTTCAGTGTTACTGAACCTTTCCTCATTGTTTTCCACTAGCAAGTTCTAGCAATTGCTAACTAAGTACATGTGTGGCAAATCTAGAGACTAAACTTAAAACCGTGCCTTGAGCATCAATATACAAGTGCTCAGAATGGAATTCTGAGAGCAACTGCTGTACACTGAAATATGGCACTTTATTATTGTCAGCGCTTTTGACTAATCCCGAGTTGAGATGATGCTAAACAGACCCAATTAGCTGAATAAAAAGAAGGCCACATTCAGTCTAGCAGAGTCATTCATTATAGTATTTATTCTATGAAACAAAGAAGAAAACATAACATTAAAAAACGTTCCATGCATTTCATGAAATACAGAGAAAGACATTGTCGTAAACAAAACAGAGAATAAGCAAGCAAAACCCCCACTGAAAGTCCCGAGAGCTCCACTCTCCACGAGGCATCATATACATACAAAAAAGCATGTACAGAAGAAAGAGCAGTCTAAGGAAAGTGGCAGGTTATCTGTCAATATCTTGGATGAGAAGATCAACCCACAAGACGTTTGCCATCACCTCTTTTATTGTAAGAACAAATGGATGCAACTTATTTTCCTTGCTACCAGTTCTGGGCATTTATCTTTTTCTGGGAAACCAGGGTGGCACCTCAGAATTCATATTAAGTTGCAGGCTAGAAAGATACTAGGGCCCAAAGTGTAGGTAGATACAGAAAGACAGCAGGGCACAATAGGTGGAAGGAGATGGCAGTTGTTCCATTGCTGGAAGCAGGGGGATGGAGATGCTCTGACTATCTTACTGGGAACAGGAGGGGGAAAAATACATCCCGTGAAAGAATTATAGGCAGCAGCAGGGAATATAATTAGTACCTCTCTTGAAGAGCCCCGACAACATAAAGACATGCCGCATTACAAAAGGATGCTGAAAGCAACATCTTTATCTAGGTTACAAATTACATTGCTAGAAACCTTCTTGCTAAAAGCTTTTGATCCAGTTCCTTCTCCTCAACCTACAGTACTCCAGCACTCCATTCGGCTTCAGCAAAGCTGTTATGAGATCCTCCTCTTGCTTTTGTTTTACAGAGCCTCTCAGACTCCCACAATGGTTACTGACCACACAACTACTGACCACAAAGCCAGTGTAATTCTGGGCTCTGACACAAAAGCTGCCCCCATCTCATCTCGGGAAGGCCCAAAAGCTGCCATAGCTGTATTTGAGGAGGATGGTGTAGAGAAAGGAAGAACAAGGCTCCGCTTACACAAACACCTATTACCCCAAAAGCCTCACTCCATGCAGGCTTGGGAACACCACAATCAAAGAGTTTCATGTGGGGAGGAGCAAAGAGAAGACAGCAGACTGGGATCCTTCTCCCTGCACCCAGGGATGCATCCACTTCTCTGACAACAGCATTCTTCTGCCAGCTACCAAGCTATCTCTGCTGCAGTGCGGAAGGTGGCCTCCTGTGAATGATGCACCAGAAGGAAGATTGTTACAATTACAAATTTGGTTTTCACATTGTTACTTAAAAACCTAAGGCTAGGAATTCTTTTTTTTTTTCCCCTTAAAATTTAAAGTAAAGTGTGATTTAACTTGTAGCATGAAATATTACAAAATTCGGAGATGTGAGATATAGCATTGCCCATGTTACACCTTAACTCTGTTCCTTTGCAGGTACATATCAGGAATGATTTTATATCACATGATCTTTCAACATTGTAGACCCTAGGAGAACTTTATTTCATTCCCTGGACAAGCACAAATGAAGCAGAAAGAAGACTCCATAGGAAATTCCAAGTGCAGCATTTCTCACTTTTGAGCGCTCGCAGCTAGAATAATGTGTTCTTGATGGTGTTTTTAAAATCCGATTATGTTTTATGTGCTCCATTTACCTTGCTTTAGGAAAACAGAAAATGCTGTAAAAGATTAAAGTCTCAAGTCTTCACAGGCCTCCACAGGCCTTGGTGAAACACAAAGATTGAGTCTTCTTTTTAAAATAACTGCCCAACTTCCTAGCTAGTGTAATTTCTGTGTTGTCCATGTAAACATTACACAGAGTCTTTGTACCACCCACTAAGCTTTTTGCTTCAATCAACTATTTGTGCCCAAAAGCACATCCTTATGTTTCTTCCTACACCACAGCCCTCCTCCCACGCCACAAAAGATGTAACAAAACAGGAATTAATCATAGGCTGGCTACTTACAGGGATTGCTGCTGTTTGCTTCTGTCTTCCCAGCCTTGGCAAGTTTGGTTGAGTTCTGCTGTGCTTTGCCCTGCTCCTCTCCAGTTAGCAGGGCTTTTATTTCAGAGGGGATTTTCCCTTGGTCCATTGCCATGCACCACTGCTTGTACTAAAATATGCAAACACATTAGGCATTAGCAAAGTGCCAGGATCACATTAGCAGACAAAACAGAACTGTAATCTTTACTTTCCGGTAAATTCATTTAAGGTTTGAATTTACTGGGCTGAAGCCTCTTACAAAATGCAAAGCACTAATGAGCTAAGCACGTGTCCATGGTTGCATACCTGGCCTCAGTAAATCCTGTTTCAGTCAATAAACTGCTACTCAGTAGCAGTACTAGACACAATACTGTAATTATTAAACAACATGGAACACTTTGTGCATTTTCTCCCTGCTAGCATGCCAGAATACCGTTCCAGTTCATGGCCTATTAAAAACAAATATTTCACATGACTCCAGGACTCACTGATTATTAAGAGGTCCTTTCTGATTGTGCAAGGCACGGTCACAGCACATGTGCCTTACTCCTAGTTCCCTCATCTTAAATTCTTCATCGGCAAACCCTAAAGCACACTGGAAAACCTGTGGGCAGCTGGCTGACTTTCCACCCAATCCTAACCCTATTCACTTGTGGTGATTAGCCCTGCCTAGTCAAACAAGCCTAATGAAAGGTCAAGGAAGTATCCTCAGCTCCAGTGATATTGCAATGGAATCTCAATATTACTGAGGAGCTGAGTCCGTATTTCCAGATGAAACATCTTCTTTGGTCAACACAACTTATTTGACCAAGACACCCATCTTATATGTGCTGTAAACACCAGACAGCTGTGCAACCATCTACACGTGCAGATGAGAGTATCCTGCAACAATAAACCCCCCCCCAGCAGACAAAAAGGTCTGGAGGAGCTGAGTCCGTATTTCCAGATGAAACATCTTCTTTGGTCAACACAACTTATTTGACCAAGACACCCATCTTATATGTGCTGTAAACACCAGACAGCTGTGCAACCATCTACACGTGCAGATGAGAGTATCATGCAAGAATAAACCCCCCCCAGCAGACAAGAAGGTCGGTGGGAAGCAATGACACACTTTGGATACATGTGCCCCTTGGTATTTTAACACATCTCTCTCCACCCTCTACACCTCTTTCTACCTCTGTCAGAGGTTTTTCAAAACAAACATCTCAAAGACAGACTTAAGGGCAATGGCCCTTTCTTTGATTGCCTCCAGTTCAAAACCAGGAGATAACTTGTGACACGAGGTTCACATTCAACATGCAAAATCAGCAAACAGCTGAGCGCATCTGTTACTGGTGTTTTGATACCTTATGGCTAGCCAAATCCCAGTCACAGTGATTTCAAGAACAAATGTCTACAAGGACAGGTCCCAAATAATACTGAGGGTTAGGTTAAGTGAGAGTTTCTTACCATTTCGAGCTCTTCTCTGAGAGCACAGATGGCACGCTCTCTGCTTGAAACCAGCTCTTCCAAGTACTGGTACCTCAGCTTCTTCCTGGCTCTGCACTCCCTTGCACTCTGACGGCTTCTTTCAAGCTTTGCCTTCAAGTCTATTTTGGCTGGTTTACGACCCCGCTTGCCCGGTTTCTTTACCTTGCCTCCGACCACCTGGAAAGGAAGGGTACATTAAAGATCCTGCTCTGCGGAGGGAATGCTGGAGCCCTGCCATCGTGCCTACGAGGTGCCTCAAGTAGAAGATTTTGCCCGTGCTTTCAACTGATGCTGAGCAACAGAGGAAAGGTGTAGCTTGTTTAGGGGGCTGATGTATGAAGCTCTCAGTGACAGCATCAAAACCAAAAAATGACTTCATATTGCTTAAGCACTCCTAGTGTAAATGCTACTGAGCTGATCTGGAGAAACAGCATCTCAGAACAGTGGAGGTTGACAGGGACCTCTGCAGGTCATCTGGTCCAACTCCCTGCTCAAGCACAGCCACCTAGAGCCAGTTGCCCAGGACCTGGCTTTTGAGTATCTGCAAGAAGGGAGACTCCATGGCCTTTCTGGGCAACCTGTGCCAACACTTGGTCACCCTCACAGTAAAAAAAAAATAAAAATGTTCTGAGGGACCCTGTGTTACAGTCTTCATCCACTGCCTCTGGTCCTGCCATTAGGTACAACTGTAGAGAGCCTGGCTCTGTCCTCTTTATACCCTCCATTTCAAGTATTTGTACACACTGATGAGGTTCTCCAAATCTTCTGTTCTCTAGGATAGACAGTCCCAGTCTTCTCAGCCTTTCCTCATAGGAGAGGTACTTCATCATCTCAGTGGCCCTTTGCTGGGCTCCATGAGCTCCATTTCCCTTTTGTACTGGGGAGCCCAGAACTGGACACACTGCTCCAGATATCCAGGAGGATATCTGGGACACCCAGGAGACAGGGATGATCAAATTCATAGCAAAATCATTTCATTATTATCAGCAACTCCTGCTCTAATACAGTGTTTCTAGAGTTGCCAGGTAGTATGGAGTTTAACACTTAAATTTGGAAGAAAAATATTTATTTATATCAATATAATAAAAAACTTAGTTTTGCTAGAATAAAATGACCACAGTTCTACCCTACTCAAAAGGTGAAACTTGTCAGAATTACTCACTAGTCATCTGAGCTTCCTCAGTCCTGATTTTTTCCAAAGGAGTCTTCTGAGGATTTTTACTAAAGAGGGAACTCAATTACACACTGACTCCTACCTCTGCTGCCTCTGTTCCAGTTGTACCTAACCACTCTGGCCATGTTCACCTTCAGAACAACACTACACAGCCTGGAAAATTGTCTTCTCATGCCTCCTCATGCCACTTATCTCAATGCTCAACTCTCCCAGCACCTAATTTAGATCTCCCTTGCAGAACTGTAACCCCCTTGTTTCTTGTCCTATGGACTGCAGGTTTTGCAATCATTTTCCCCCCCTCTTCTTTGTGGCTTTTTTTTTTTTTTTTTTTTTACACGCATGAGAAAGCCTCTCTTACTACAAATAAAAAAGAAAGGAATAGTTTCCTCAATGTTTACACTTCCCCACCCAAATATTTTACTCTTAACATGAGACCATGGCACATGAAAGTTTTAAATATGGTCTGAAATTCAGTATAGTGGCCATTGGGTAGTATCGCCCCGTAAGCATTGCGTGAGCCACACACCCCACCTGCCCTCTGAAGTGAGCTTTTCTCTTTATTTGCATTCTGACCACACTGTTTGAATGGAGGGGGTGTGGAGAAACACACCTAACACACACCTACGTACAAGAATTTCACTGCTGGCTTAGTGTTTCACCATACTGTGTATAAACGGTACTTCTTCTACTAGTCAGTGTTCAAAATATCAGAGTTCATAATAAAAAAAGGCACTTTTTTCTGTGTGATGCCACAAAATAAGTCAGCTTTGACATTCAAAGAAGTCACTTGTTCTACAAACTTAGCAGGCTGCAATAAAAACAATAACATAGTGAACCGATGAAGAAAAAAAAAGGCTTATACAATTGAGCCTATTCTTTCTTTGAAAAGTGAGTCAACAATCACATGCCAACATAATCCTACCCTCTCTATATTGCCTCTCCTAATGTATTCAGGAGTAGCTGCCTACCATAAGCAAATGGAGGAACAGAAAGTACTTAATGGACATCTAGTGATCCTGAAACAAACACAATACGTTCAGAAATGCAAAGGAAAAAAAAAAAAATCAATCTCTTTTACATTTGAACTGCTGAATACTATTTGAATAATTCATTCACTCCACCAAGGTGCTCTCCTTAAGATCTTCTAGTTCAGATACTATATTCACTGAAATAGTATAAAACTACCCAGCCATGGCCAAGGGGGAAAGAAGTTCCAAAGAAAGGAAAGCAACTGTCCCCTTTCAGGCGTGACAAGCTCAGCTCTGTCCTCTCACCAAACTGCTCTCATATTTATACACGGTGTGATTTACACTCCTAGCTCAGGAGGAGTTAGAAATACACCTAGTATTCCCAGGAGCAGCTGTAGGCACTCACAATTTGCTATCTATTATTACTTGCACTTAAAAGATTTCTGAATATTACATTATACAATGCAGCCAAAGTACTTCAGTTCTCAAAGACTTTCAGCGCCCGCGGCTCTTCCGTGCCAACGCAAGCTAGTTTAAGGTAAATCTTTGAATTCAAGAGCTAGATAAGGCCTTGTAGGGACATACACTCCACCTCTCTTAAAAAACCTTCGCCACTCTGAGCTGTGACCCTCTAGAAGAGCGGGCTAGCACTCAAGGTCAGAGTCCCAGCACACCACGTACTGTCCTATGAACAAAATAATAACTCGAGTCTTAGTCCCGAGCAGGAGCACGTCTCACCAGCACGTCAGGCAGGTGAATAGTTGCTACCACGCTGTTTCTCACAAGCAGCAAGTTAAAGCTACTTGGAAACAGCACCCAACGTTGCCACAGCCAGCATCCTGGGCAGCAATGAAAAGCATTCCCAAGCAGCACAGCTTCACAGCAGTTAAATCCATCCAACGTCACAATCTCACAAAATAATTTCTTTTAAGGACCCGTTATTTTAAAGCATCTTGTGAACATTTATATGCAGAGGGTTCCTCTTTTAAGATAGGGGCCACATAAACACAGAAAACATACAAAGGGGGCAAGATAGAGTGGATCTTAATGCCAATAAGATCTCGAGTGAACTCCTACAAACTTTGAGTTTAAAGGCACATTTTTATGGACAGATCTAGAGACACGAACATAAGACAGTTAAAGGTACTTTGTAGCCTGCAAGGAAATTAAATGCTGGTGTAGACTGCTTTGCACATTGCAAATGCATCCTGGGTCCAGGACTATCAATTAACTGCTTTCCATTTAACCACTCGAGGGAGCTTTCTACAGATAGGTGTACTAATTGCTCTCTCTCAGGATCTTTTACCACTGCAGCAGTCCTGCACACAAGCTCTCTTATGGGAGGAAAAAGGCTTGTACCTCTTGGGTCATTGCTTGCCAATGCTCTAACCACCAGGACTATGCAAATAATGAAAAGCTTCCTTCCCTTTTAACTCTGACTTTAAGCAGCAAGATCCAAATAATCTGTATTCGCAGCACCCCAGAAGACTCACAGTGTCTTTGTGGCTCCTGATCTGGAGTTCACCACACAATTAGGCATCACCCTGCATGGCTAGTTTGGCAAGCGATTTAATCGAATCCTGCATCCTTAACAGTTTATCCTCACCAATATTTAGAAGCTTCTGCTGTATCCTTAAGCAACCCAGATGGGGAAAAAAAAAAAAAAAGGCCTGATAAATCCTTTGCCACCATCCCACATTACCATATCTCCCTGGCTTCTAGTCATGTTTGCCTATTCAGTTGCTATGCTGATGTGACAGAAAGAAGACAAAGCCGAAGTGCTAGTTGATGTTGAACATGGCAGCAGACCAAGAAAAAAAACAAGCAAGCAAACATTTTTTTATTCTCTTTGTATTCCCCCAGAGTTTATAAAGGGACGGGATCTATTAGCATTCAGCAGCAGGGATTTGTTTTTTTTCAGGGAGTCACATGTAATCAAGACCCAGAACAATATTAATCATAAAATTCATCACAGAAATATTAATAATGACATGCAGTTGTCAGAAAGCCAACCAAGCTCCCATTGCAGTTCGCTCAGACTTCAGAAAACAGAAAAACACAACTCCCTCCCTCTTTAATACAGTATTTGGTTCATAACATCATTCTTGCCTGGCGTCAGCGTTCAGGTACAGAATTATTTGACCTGGAATTGGAAATAGATTCCATTACTTGCCCTGTTATAGAAAAAGCCCTCAGATTTCTGGAATTTTAATTTCCACCACCCCAAAAAGGATTGAGCATATCTCTACAGAAGCACTGCCAGATTGTATGATGAAGAGGTTCTCCTTTGGAAGGACATATATACATAATATGGCTACTGGCATCCACATGCCCAAGGAACTGAGCCACTCGGGTAGTAACAGTACTCAGAGTAGCAGCATAAAACCCAGCTAGAAAGTATGCTGGTTATTCCTTCACTGCATGACATTTTATATGCTTAACACAGATTATTTAGTTAACTTTCACTGGCAGACAAAATAAATTTTCAGATCATTATTGGATGCAAGGTACTACTTAGTGAGCAAACACTTTACAAGTCTTAAGCAGGTATGTCAATAGAAATTAATCCTAAAGCTCTAATAATACAAAGTGATTGATGTACTAAGAATGTAATCTTTAGCACGGATGCGTAAAGAAGACTATGCTGAAATGTCTATTTTTAAAAAGCATAAGCTAGGAGCAAGTATCAAGTTTTCATGAAGTATTACATAGATATCCACAAGTCAAGACAAACAAGCATTAAGATTCAGAGTAGGAATCACTATTAAGACTCTGCAGCGATCACCCAGATGCCACTTTACCACTCAACAGTTGAGAGTCCTCCTCTTCCCCCCAGGAAGGACTTACAGCCTCATGCGTGGAAGCGTATCCACCAACACACCACGTGCATTCTCACAGTTTATGCTAACAGAACCCAAGCACTTCTTTAAACCCCTGTTAGAGCTCAAAACAGGCAACAGGGATGGTCAACTGACACTACACTATGTATATCCTCCTACCCCACTGCAAATGAGAAATAAAAGTCTTCTAACTGT